TCTGTCTTCCCAGTTGGCACTGTTGACCAGCACTCCTGTTTGGTTCTTCTTGTGTTCCCTTACTTTCAAACAAAACGTGTTTTCTTGCCGCTGTCTTCTTGGTTCTGTCTTTACTCATACCATGATATTTTACATCCTTATCATCTCGGTGATTGCTTCCTACCTACCAGCCCTTAGGACTTCTGTGCCCTGCTCTGCATATTTCCCTGGTGTATAAATCCAGCTAAATGGAAATCAGGAGACCTTTTGAACAGACTGGACCTTACCTAGTTTCAAGGGTAAGAAGTTATCCATTTTGTCCTGCTGTAAGACATCCTGTATTTGTCCTTTGTCATATTTTTCAGGCATCCTTGGATATGCAATCTTTGTCTTCCCATTTCTGAAAAACCCATTCTTTCTTTTTAAAAAGATTTATGTATCTATTTGAAAAAGACAGAGTTATGGAGAAAAGGGGAGAGAGAGAAAGAGAGAGAGAGAGAGTGAGAGAGCACACTTCCCTGTACTGGTCCACTCCCCAGATGGCTACAACAGCTGAGGCTGGCCAGGCTGGAACCAGGAGCCAGGAGTTCCATCAAGGTCTTCCACATGGATGGTGGGGACCCAGGCACTTGGGCCATCTTCTGCTGCTTTCCCAGGTGCATTAGCAGGGAGCTGGTTCAGAAGTACAGAAGCTGAGACTTGAACCAGCACCCCTATGGGGATGCTGACATACCACACAGCAGCTTAACCCACTGTGCCACAATGCAAGCCCACAAAAGCCTGTTTTTAAGATTCTAAGTTTCTGTTACCTATCCAGCACTAGTTCATTTTACTGATGTTTCTTGGCTGGAATAAAAGATTTTATTACTTGTGAAAAAGCATTTCAGGGTAGAATAGTTATCTGATGCCTTATTTATTCATTTTTACATATTTCAAATTTGGGCAAGCAATTTTTGTGTTTATACAGAAAATTCCATGAATCTGAAGTGTGCAGTTGGATGAAATCAATGTTGTATACGTGACTAGGGAACCAGGTCCAGACAGCCCTGTGGAACTTCTCAGTATCCTAAAGGTATCCTTCACACTCCCTCACCCATATCAGTCATTACCTCCTCAATATAACTAGGATTCTACATTTATTTGTTTATGCTGCGTTTGTTCCATTGTGAACCTGATACAAACAGACTCCAATGTGCCAGCCCACAAAATGGGAGATGATATTTGCCATGAGTGTATCCAATGATCTGGGAGAGCTGCTTTAATCCATCCTTATTTCAACGTTTCCTGTGCGTCTTGTTTTATTTTTGGCTATGTTCAAGTACTGTCATAGTGTCTTACGCTTTGCCTGTGGACATATAAATTAGTACAACCATTTTCAAAAGGTATTTGGCACTGTCTGCTAACATTTGACCTACACATATCCTAAGACCCAGAAATTTTACTACAGGGAATAGCCTCAATAAAAATGAACGAATACATGCACAGAGACATGTATTAGAATGTTATCTGCAAAACCACCATATTCCTAAAGTTGTACCTATGAAAATTGCATTCATTAAATAAAAGCTTAAAAAATAAAAGAATCTCACCTGAATTCTTAGTCGACTTATCATTGTCCCAATGTGATAAGAAACCTGCTTCAACATTCCTGAATTACTGGGAATATAATAAGTTCATATTAGCTAGTGTATGTTTTCCGATTTTCTTCTTGTTCATATTTATCTTCACTGCTCATGACCCCTAATCTCGTTATAAACCTCAAGCTTTGCCTTGATTAGCTTTGCTCTTTTCTTGTAGTTACAGTTATGTTTACTTTTTTTTTAATTTTCAATTATCTTTATATACAGAAGATCAATTTAGCACATATTAAGTAAAGATTTCCACATTTTGCTCCCACACAGAAACACAAAGTGTAAAATACTATTTGAGTACTAGTTATAACATTAATTAAACACCTAAGAGTAATTGTGTATTAATTACGGAGTTCAACCAATAGTTTTAAGTAGAATATAAAATGCAACTTTTGTATTGTTGTGGCTCCCCCCGCCGACCTCCCTCCCTCCCGTGGCCCTCCCCTCTCCCACTCCCTCTCCAATCCCGCCCTTCATCACGTTTCATTTTCAATTTATACTGAAGATCAACTTAGTATATACTAAGCAGGAATTTCAACAGGCTGCACTCACACAACCGCACAAGGTATAGGGTATTATTCGACTAGTAGTGTTGTTTTTGAGTTTCATAGTTAAACACATTAAGGACAGAGATCCTACGTGGGGAGCATGAACCCAGTGACTCCCATTGTTGATTTACAGTTGTTTTTACTTATACACAGATTTGTGGATGTGGCTATCTTTATCCTATGGAATTTTCCAGTCTAGAAAATGGCTTACCCATTCACTTACACATTAATGACCTTTCAGTTCATATTTAGCTATATTCCTAGGAGTTTCACGTTTTTTGTTGTTGTTGCTGTTTTTTTTTTTTTTTTTTTTTTTTTTTTTTTTTTACAGGCAGAGTGGACAGTGAGAGAGAGAGAGACAGAGAAAGGTCTTCCTTTGCCATTGGTTCACCCTCCAGTCGCCACCACGGCCGGCGCACTGCGGCCGGTGCACCGCGCTGATCTGAAGCCAGGAGCCAGGTGCTTCTCCTGGTCTCCCATGGGGTGCAGGGCCCAAGCACTTGGGCCATCCTCCACTGCACTCCCGGGCCACAGCAGAGAGCTGGCCTGGAAGAGGGGAAACCGGGACAGAATCAAGCGCCCCGACCGGGACTAGAACCCGGTGTGCTGGCGCCACAAGGCAGAGGATTAGCCTATTGAACCACGGCTCCGGCCCGAGTTTTATCACTTAAAATATTGAATTTTATCTAACTACCTTGCTGAATTATCTTTCAGATTTAATAGTTGATGGTTCTGGATCTTCTAAATGTGCAATTTTAGTGTCTGCTAATAGTAAGAGTGCTATCTTTAGCTTTACAATCCCTGTAACTTCTCTTGCCTGATTGTGTTGTTTAGTGCTGTGGGTACAACAATGAGTGAGGAGGTGTTTTCCAAATAGATACATATAAAGTAAAAGGAATTACTCCTAATTTGTTAAATTTTTATGGTATGGATGTTGAATTTGTTAAAGAATACTCTGTATCTAATGACATGCTTATGTGACTCTTTTTTTCTGATTGTTTTTAATGTAATGTATTTAACTTCCTGAGGTTTCTACCATTAACTAAACCTGGCTTGGTAGGAACACATCCAAATTGCCCACTACTTGCTAGCCTTTTTGTACATACTATATAATATACACACTATATAGTAGACACACAGGTGGGTATTTCAGTGTTTCTCATGACTGAGGTTGTCCTATAATTTTCCTTCTTACAATTTTGTTTTCTAGACTTGCTGCAAAACAAGTGCTGGTCTTACAAGAGGTGGGGAGTGCTCTGGCTTTTTCTTTTCTGTGGGAGTATTTAAATTTGTCACTATTTCTTCTTCACATGTTTTGGATAATGCATCTCTGGAATAATCTGGGCCTGGGTACTCAATTTGAGGCAGATTTAATTACTTTAGGAAATATATGACTATCTATGCTAATGTTTCCTTTTTGATAAAATTTTGCTTGTATGTACAAGTCTTATTTATCTAAATTTTCAAATGCATTTGCATGAAAACATTTAAAATACCATCTCAGTAGTTTCTTAATTTTCGTATGTGTGAGATTATTTCTCATTCCTGGTGTAGATAATGTGTATTCTCTTCATATTTCCTTTATCAGCCTGGTTAGCAATGCATCAACTTTTTAATCCTTTCAAAGAATGATCATTGGCTTTGGTTCCGTTCTATTTTTGTGGTCACTCCATGTTGTTATTCTATTATACATGCATTTTCTGCTCTTTTAAATTTCCTCATTTATACTCATTGTTTCATTCTTCATTCAATTTCCTTTTTTAATATTTTTTAAAAACTATTTAATTATTTGAAAGTCAGAATGACATAGGGGGAGGGACAGAAGAAGAAGAGACATTGTCCATCTGCTGGTTCACTCCGCAAATGGCCAGGTCAGGTACTTAGATCATCTTTTGGTGTCTTCTCACCTGCATTGTCAGGCAGAGGAGCTGGGGCTCCACTGGCACCCCAGTATTGGACGTGGCATCTCAAGTGGTGGCTTCATCTGCTGTACCAAACACTGATCACTCTTAACTTTTTAATACGAATATTCATATTATTGATTTCCAGTATTCTTTCTCATTAACATATGAGCTCAAGCTGTAACTTACTCTTAAAGCACAACTTTTTTTCTGCAATTCACAATTTGTAATATGTTTATTGTGATTTCTTCTTGGACCAGTGTGCTATTGACAAGTATATGGCCACTATGTTCGAACACAGTTTATTTCAACTTTTTGAAATATATTAAGCTTGATTCACAACCCCGCACCCATTACAAAAAGGCGACATGTTCTCTTGAAAAGAACAGTTCTGCATTGGTGGATCCTAAACAACACACTTCATTAATTTTTTTCTGCATGTTTATTTGTTATTGAGAGATGTACTAAATGCCCCTTTTAAATGTGCACTTCCTGGCTGGCACCGTGGCTCAATAGGCTAATCCTCCGCCTGCACTCTGGGTTCTAGTCCCAGTTGGGGTGCCAGATTCTGTCCCAGTTGCTTCTCTTCCAGTCCAGCTCTCTGCTGTGGCCTGGGAAGGCAGTGGAGGATGGCCCAAGTGCTTGGGCCCTGCACCTTCATGGGAGACCAGGAGGGAGCACCTGGCTCCCGGCTTTGGATCAGCGCAGTGTGCTGGCCGCAGCGACCATTTGGGGGGTGAACCAATGGAAAAGGAAGACCTTTTTCTCTGTCACTGTCTAACTCTGCCTGTCAAAATAAATAAATAAATGTGCACTTTCCTATTTTTCCTTTAGTCCTGTCCCACACCCCACCCCTTGTCCCACTCCCTACCCTCCAGTCCCCACCATAGGTACTATAAAGCTATAATATGTACTATATATATACTATATATATATGTATATATATATACACACACACATATATATACTGGGAAAGGGGGAGTGGTTTGAAACTTGACTCCACTTGCAATTCCAGGGACTGCTAGTGTGCACCCTGGGAGGCAGCTGGTGTTGCCTCCAGTACTAGGGTACATGAGAGACCTAGATGGAGTTCCTGGTTCCCTGCCTGGCCCACCCCTGTCAGCTGTCTGGCTATTTCTCTCTGTGTGTCTGTCTCTTTGTCTTTCAAATAAAATGACGACAAAAAACAATCCCTAACAAAACAAAACAAATAAACAAAAAACAGCAGATGCTGAAGCTACAATGGCATTGAAATAAATGCCTTACAAAGTATAACTGTTATGGTTTCCTGAGATGTGACCTTTTCACACAATGAAATGTTTCATTGCTAGAGAGGCTTTTGGCATTTTAAGATAGAAGAAGTTGTCCGTTTTCTCCATGTTGAGTTGTAATGGACTTGGCTGAGGCTCGCAGACTGGACGGTGACTCCCAACACCTATGTCACCATCACTTTGTTCTCAGGGTCCTGTTCTGCTGACAGAGAGCCTGCTGCACTTTTCCAGACCCAGCCCTTATTAGGACCTGCTGGTGGAGTCCTAGCACTGAACAGTACTTTGTGTTAAGAATTATCAGCTCTTACTTTCCCCATTTCCTTTTCCTTATATTGACCATAATTTCCATTTGAAATAGTAAAGACAAAATTTAAATCTAGGATGAATTTCTCTTCAGGCCTACAATTAGATTTGAAAGGATGTTGCAATATAGATTAAGGCTATTTTTGCTTCGGTTTATCTCTGACCCATGAACTTGACCTCTCAGGGTTGCTCATTCATCAGTGCATCATCCTGGCCTGCGCACACTTACCCCAACCTTAGAGGGCATTTGACTGTGGCCTCAAACATTCCATGTCACTTTCCTATAGCAAGTAAAGCCATCAGATGCAACACCAGCATCCTATAGGGGCTCTGGTTTAAGTCCTGATTGCTCCACTTCTGATCCAGCATCCTGCTTTTGGCCTGGGAAAACAGCAGAGGATGGTCCAAGTGCTTGGGCCCCAGCCCCCTGTGTGAGAGACTCTGATGAATCTCCCAGCTCTAGGATTTGGCTTGACCAACCTCTGTTCATTGCAACCATTTGGAGAGTGACCCAGCGGATGGAAAGACTCTCTCTATCTGTATCTCCTCTCTCTGTAATTCTTTCAAATAGATAATTTTTTGAAAATTTATTTATTTATTTGAAATTCAGAGTTACACACAGAGAGAAGGAGAGCCAGAGAAAGAGAGAAAGAGATCTTCTATCCATTGGTTTACTCCCCAGTTGGCCACAATGGACAGAGCTGCTCCAAACCAAAGGCAGGAACCAGGAACTTCCTCCGGATCTCCCACATGGATGCAGGGGCCCAAGGACTTGGGCCATCTTCTACTGCTTTCCCATGCCATGGCAGAGAGCTGGATGGGAAGTGGAGCAGCTGGGACTTGAACCGGCCCTCATATGGGATGCTGGCACTGTAGGTGGTGGCCTTACCTGCTATGCCACAGCGCTGGGCCCCAAATAGATAAATCTTAAAAACAAGGAGATCCTCATCATGGACAGGTTCTTTCTTGTCTGACTCCTCCCTGTGACTCTAGTCCTATTGCATAATCTCATTCCTACTGTATTTACAAGTTTAATTCCTATACTAGAGAGAAAATGCTCCAACATCACAGCCTTTTTTGCCTATCAGTTTTGTGTCTTTAACACCACACACAGCTCTGGACATGGCAGGCCTTCAATGTTGATAAAATGCATGAAGTATAAGGAGAGAGATCAATTTGTTGCTAAGTGATTCTTTTTTTTATTATTTTTATTTTTTAATTTTTTTATTTTTTCATTTTTTGACAGGCAGAGTGGACAGTGAGAGAGAGAGAGACAGAGAGAAAGGTCTTCCTTTGCCGTTGGTTCACCCTCCAATGGCCGCCGTGGCCAGCGCGCTGCGGCAGGCGCACTGCGCTGATCCGAAGGCAGGAGCCAGGTACTTATCCTGGTCTCCCATGGGGTGCAGGGCCCAAGCACTTGAGCCATCCTCCACTGCACTCCCTGGCCACAACAGAGAGCTGGCCTGGAAGAGGGGCAACCGGGACAGAATTCGGCGCCCCGACCTGGACTAGAACCCGGTGTGCCAGCGCCACAAGGTGGAGGATTAGCCTAATGAGCCGCGGTGCTGGCCGTTAAGTGATTCTTAGTGGTTTTACAAGTGTTAACCTAAACTTTGCTTTCCTTCTATGCTGTTTCATGACAAAAACAGGATGATCTTTTCTGAACTGGATCCATTTCTTTTGAATGGACACATATAACTCATCCAAACTGGTGACTGTGGGATAAAGTGGGAAGGATCTTGGCTGGGAGTCTGGAGTTCTGGGAGTACTCTCGTGATTTTAAGCCGGCCATGTAATCTCTCATACTTGTTTTCTCATGTCTTGTTCTCAGGTCTTTTCACCTGTAGAATTCTGTGGACGGAGGATGACCTTTATCTGATTTTCTCACATTAGGTCCATTCTATTTGGCTCTATTCTTTCCCCTCATTGCCCTTCTATTGTACTTTTCCCACTTTCACATCTCAAACGTAAAAGCATTCATTATTTGGGGATGCCCTCCACTTCCCTGCCAATTAAGTAACTTTAATGTATGTCATTTCTGCACAGCAACAGACTAAGTACCACAGTGCATCCCAGCTTCCTCATATACAGCTTTTGCTATGGATTCTGATGGAAACTATGCTTGAAAGATTGACTCAAGGGTGAGGGCTGTATCACCTGCAATCATAATGTGTATCAGCTCATTTGTCTTACATAACAGCTTATGAAGTTACTTTACAAGATCAAGTTCAAGCATCTACACTGATGAGGACTAGGGTTCTAGTGTACCAAATGTAGGGCAAAGGTGTGTCTCTGGGGTGTATCATTTGCAAGAACCCAATTGCTAACTTGAAAATAGAAGAGAATGCTTCTATCAAGTTAAAATAATTGCATAAGATCTGATCTGATCTGAATGGCCTTGTCTTTGATATAAAAAGCAGACTCTCTGGCTGGCCCTGGAGTGAGAACAGGAGCACAGTCAGTGCTGACAACGACTGATGTGGCTGGTGTCTTGAGACTGCATGGCTGCCTGTGCTGTTCAGTTCAGCACAGCACTTTCTACAGGACTTTGCACCCCATTCACTGCCCTGGTGACAGATCTGTGTCCGTCAGCAGGCAGGAAGGCTGCAGCCACATTGTGATTCAATGCTGAACTCTCCTGGTTTTTGTAAATGAACTGGCTGCTTTGGGTCTGGTGATTACTTTACAGTCTGATCCACAGTGAGGTTAGAAACAAAAAAGCAGTCACATATGTCCCTTCCATTTCAATGTATTTCCAACGATACTTGAGGGACATGCTCCTTTTTCTCATTTTTTATTTAGTTTTGAATTCATTTTTATTTTAATCATTCATATTTATGGAGTATGATGTGACAATTTAAGTTTACAGGACATTGTGTAGATTTCAGGTTATTTAGCATGTCCATCTCCTTAAACATTTCTTTCAAGATTTTTGATCAATACACTAATTTTGCAAAATTATGGACTACAGCTTGACATTTCAGTAAATGTATACATTGTGTATTGTTCAACATTCACCTCTCCTTATCCCTTGATGTTTGGAGACTCCCTGTCCCTCTCTTCCATTTTCTAATATATAATAGATAAAAGTGAACCTCAGTCAACTCCCCAGGGCTATAGAGCCCTGGATTGCTTCTGTCTGTTTTTGGGACCTATTATCCAACATCTCTCTGTCCCTCCCCTCCCAACCTCTCCATCCTCTGCTGATCACGATTCTATATTAATGGAAGTCGATATTTCTTAGCCACCACATGAAGAATAGAACCCACAGAATTTGTTTCCCTGACTTATTTTGCTCAATATGATGTCTTCCAGTTCCAATTCCACCCATGTGCTGTGTAGGAGAAGATATCATTCTTCTATATGGCTGGATGACATTCTATCATGTACATGTACCTCCTTTTCCTTTTCTTAGTCACTCATCTGTGAATGAGCATCTAGGCTGATTTCATGTCTTAGTTCCTGTGACTACCATATCGATACATAAGCCTGTGCTACAATCTCATTGCTAAGACTAAGCCTTCCTTCTCATTTGATAGACAGGAAAATTGAAAGCTGGTGAGATTAACTGACTCCCTCTAAGTCCTATATCAGACTAGATAAGGAGTTAGATGCTTGATTTCCATTCCTAATTCTTAGCCCAGGACTTTCTCTACCCTTCTGTGTTCATTTATCTCCTATGTTTAATTCATGTATGTGTAAAGCATAACTATAAGCAAATATAATTTTTCAGCACATGTGAGTGAATGATACCTGGCCAGAGAGAGAGAGCACCTCCTGGAGGAGATGGCTTTCAGGCTAGGAAGGATTCATGCCCCCCACTATATGTTATTTTTTAAAAAGATTTATTTATTTATTTGAAAAGCAGAGTTGCAGAGAGGCAGAAGCAGAGAGAGAGAGGAAGAGAGGGAGAGAGAGAGAGGTCTTCCATCTTCTGGTTCACTCCCCAGATGGCAGCAATGGCTGGAGCTGCGCCGATCCAAAGCCAGGAGCCAGGAGCTTCTTCTGTGTCTTCCACACAGGTTGGGGTGCCCAAGGACTTGGGCCAATTTCTACTGCTTTCACAGACCATAGAAGAGAGCTAGACGGAAGAGAAGCAGCCAGGACTTGAACCAGGCAGATAGGATACCGGCACTGCAGGCAGAGGCCTTACTGCTATGCCACAGTGCCCCCACTATACGTTAGAATTCCCTGCAAATAAAAGTGTCTGGTTGTCAGGTGACCCCTGTTGTCAGGTTAGGTATCAGAATCACCTGAGGCTTTGGTATTTTTATTTATGCATTGAGGAAATTGACTTAAGCATTCAATTTATCTCAGATAAGAGAAAACCAGTTTCATAGCAGTGATTTGAATGAGATATGATGAAATTAGAAAAGAAAGGAAGCATCACTTTCGGGTGTCTGGAATGTAGAGACAATGATATTTCGTAAGATAATTAATAGCAACCATTTTGAGATCTGGAGCAGAAGTTAACTTTACTGGCTCAGTGAGTGTCATGAACTATTTGCAGTCTGTATTTTAGATGCTAACTGCACAGGAATATTAGGAGCTCACAGGAATTACCCTATGGTTTTTTTCTCTGTCTATATGCTGAAAATTTTTTTACTCTGTTAACGGTACACAATCTTTTCACAGTTATTTGCCCCATGATCTCACTCATCTATATTGATGATGGGTTGCTTTGTTGAATGTAATTATACCTTGAAACATGGCAAGATTATACACCAATGCAGAGTGAGTGTGTGTGTTATAATTATTTGATGAATGCACCTGCTTTCATCACCTGCTATCTAGGGGGAAAATTCAATTTTGTAACCTGTTTCAGTAGCATCCAGTTACTATAGGCGGACTATTCTTTCTTATTTATACCTTATTGTTTATTTTCCTTGTTGTTCTTCAGTGGTTTGCTTTGATGTTTTATTCATATCTTTAATTTGGGATTCTTAACTTTGCTTAACACCTAAAGCAGTTTTGAGAATGTGACTTTAAAAACAAAAACAAAAACCCAAGAAGTTTGTAGAATGGACCCTGAGTGGTAAATAATCCATTTTCTTGTATAGGTGTTATTTGATTAGGCCAAACTGATGTCACTCAATGAAAAACAGAAAAGCATTCTCAAGTCCTAGCAGTGAAGACACTGATTGCAATGCCTTTGCCTTGTAGCAGAGAGCTTTGGATCTGGTTCCTCCCTTCAGCTCCAGATTCCATCATCCTGGTAACGCAGAGCATGGGAGGTGGCGGTGAGGGCTCAAGCAGCTGGGTTCCTGCCACTCCTGTGGAGACCATATACTGTTCCCAGCCTCCAGCTTTGGCTGAGATCCAACTCCAGCTGTTGGCATTTGGGAAGTGAACAAGAAGACAGGGGACATTCATTCTCCCTCTCCCCACCCCCCTTTCTTTTTCTTCAGTCTCCATTTCTCAATCTCTGTCTTTATCTCTGTATCTATTTCTCTGCCTCTCAAATAGCTTTGAAAAGCACTCTGAGTTTGTTGGGGGCTTAGCAAAAGTAGATTTTATGTAAGGAACAGATCATGATTCGCAATGCTGGAGTTCAAATTCTGGCTCAGTTAACAAACTGCATTAAATATCTCTGTTTCCATTTCCTTATCCAGAACACTGAGGGGATAATAATAGTAACCTTAACCTCCAAGCGATGGATGAAATGATACGACATGCAAAGTTTTACAAATAGCACAAGCCTTCAGCTGTTTGTTTGACATGTATTTCACAATATCTGGAAACGTGTTTCCAAATGGCAAAGTCCAGTGGACATTTGTCAGCAACTTAAAAGCCCTAAATAAAGAAACAGGCTCACTTGCTCTCAATCACTCTATCCTCCACAAGGCAAATACACAGAAAGGCCTCTTTACAGAAAGAAAAAGCAAGCAACAAAACCACCGCCTCCACAAAGGTTTGTGTTTTTCTCCCAATTTGAAAAGAATCTAATTTTTAAAATGTTTTTTAGTTACTTATTTGAGTTGCGGAAAAAGAGGGAGTGATCAGAGAGCTCTGATTCACGCGTTCACTCTGCAAATGCCCACAATGACCGGGCCTGGGTTAGCCCAGAGCTTGGAGCCAGGATCACATCCAGGTCTCTCCTGTGGGTGGCACAGTCCGATTACTTGGGTCATCATCACACCTCTCAGGGTGTGCGTTAGCAAGAAGCCAGAATCAGGAGCAGAGCTGGGACTTGAACCCCAAAACTCTGATGTGGGTGTCTTGCCCAGCATCCTAACAACTAGGACACATGCCTGTCCTGAAAAGAATCTAATTTGTTGGAGAATGTATGGAGAAAATAACTTTATGCCCAAAATAAAAGATTAAAATCAAACAGCCACCCCCTCCCTGATATACACCCTGCTGAACTTAGTCTTGTGAAATAAGCACACTTCTTGTGGCATGGAACAGTCCACGGAAAGACTATCCTCAGAGACTGAACTCTGCCTGAAAGCTGTGACCCCCCTGCATTCAACAGGGGCTCAAGGTTGATAGGAGCCATTTGTGAGTCCACGTGACCTCACCGAAATCTTTGAAATCTTAGATGCTCTTTTGGAAAGTTGTTACCTGGGTTTCCAGCCACATACCAGGGATTCTAGATGATGAGTTCATCTTCCATTCCTTAGGGCTAAAGGCAAACCTGGAGTGAAATCGGATTTTGACTGCATAAGGTATCCCCCTTGCCTATTTGTTTTTATCAATCAGCATCCACTTGTGGGGACGCTGGCACAAGGCTTACCCCAAATCCTCGCCTCCATCCAGCTTCAAGTGGACTCAGAATCTTAGATGCCTTGGGCAGGAGACTCCAGTTCACTGCTGATCCTGCTGTGTGATGCATCAGCAGCATTCCCACTCCAGGGTTTCACAGTTCATGCTCGCAGAAATGAGTGCATGCGTGTTCCGATCTTGAAACTAGATCAGAACTTGTGGAAGCTTTGGAAACTTTAAATTGCAAATGATGAAAACTACATCTCACTGCATTCTTGTTTAAATCCTGCATCTCAAATCATTTAACTTTTTTCCCTGTTAGGCTATGCTCATGTCTAGCTGACCTGTGTGAGGGGAAGAGGCTTTAGTACCTTCACATCGAATAAACCTAGATTCCTTCTGACTGTAGATTTACAGACTTTTCCTATTTCTTGGTGTTTTCCACTGAGGAAAAACAGGCATTAGCTTATGTAATAATCAAATGAAAAGACATTCACCTTCATGCATATGAAGTAAGTTTTAAAATAGTCACAAAATCATTCATACTACAGTAGTATAAATTCCTATCAATTTGACAAATATTTAAAACAGAGTTTGACAAAACACTGTATGTGCAACAAAACTGATACCTATGAGTATTTCTTGTCTTTTCTTTCTTTTTTTTAATTTAGCTTGCACATATAAGGGAGGGTTTTATTTGGTTCTTTTACTTATAAGTTAGCTATTCCTGAATGAGACGACTCATTCTTTTAGTTTTCTATACCATTATTTGCCTTCCAACTATGACTAAGACACAACAGTCATCCAATTCTCCATTCTAACTTGTTCTCTTACTCCTGAGTTTTGGACACCTCTTCCCAATTGTGTTTAACAAATATGTCTTCCTGGATATCTCCTAGCCTCCTCAAAATTAACTTGAGTTAAGAAAAAACATCTCCATAACTCATTGTGTATTCTCCATCTCCATGAATAAAATCACCTTTCATAAATCTCATAAGCATCTCCTTGTCAACCAAAAATAATATTGACTATTTTCTTTAATTCTTTGCATACAGCCAACGACAAACTCCCGTCAATTTGCTGCTAAGGTGGTTTGGAGTCTCCCCATCCCTTTTCACTGCTACTTTCTGTTTCAGACTGTTGCTATGAGATGTGAAGAGCTCCTCTGGTCAATGAAATGTCATAGCCAGAGGGAGTCAAAGCGTGCTGCTGGCCCCTGGGGAGTTTCTCACTCCTACCTCCTTACTCAGAGAGTGAAGAATGTGGCCCACTCAGTTTTTGTCATTGATTTTGATGCTGTTGCTGTGGTTGCTTTTGTTATGTATGATTTTATTTAATTAAACCTTGGTTAAACAGTATGGATAACATTTTAATTAATTTTCCTCAGCTTTTGCACATTAAGTGATATGATATCAATTAATATGATATCGATTAATTATTTTGTGAGAAGGTTCACCTGCCTAGCTTGTGACAAGAAAAATAAATTGCATGTTCATGTATGAGGTTTTCCAGCCAATTTTCACATAAATGCCCTAAAAGAGGTAAGAGCTTAAAATAGCTAATAAAAGGGAGCTTTTGAGAGTTCTCATTTCAGAAGTGAAAAGGAAAGTTGAGATAAAATATTATTTTTTCATATCAAAAAGTAGTCTGTTACTACTAAGAATGCTTTCCAGGAATGTGGGGCATCTCTAGGGCATGCATGAGACTTCAGCCTGGATCTTTGTCATTGTACGATGTGGAATTGATCAAACCAAACCGCATTATTGCTCTCTCACTGCACAGCATGCCAGGGAAGCAATCCAAAGCTCTCCAAATAAAAGTTCACTTCCTAAAAACATAACATGCATTTACATTTATTCAAATTAGGAAGAAAAGATAGGGAAATTAATTTGAACCACAAATAGATATGGTGATATGTTTGTTAATATAAAAATAGGTACCAAATATACAAAAAAAAAAAAAACAGTTCACAGCATAGGAAAAAAATTTGAATAGTAAAATCATCATCTCTACACATTTTACCCCAATTCACACATCCATGCCATCTGTAAACATTCCACAAGCAAATCAGATGCAACCATCTACAGATAAGAAGCTTTACAAATAAAGACAGACAAGTAACACGTTACGTATTCATACAAATTTATCTAAATGTTATGTTTACATATAATATGTAAAAACTTATTTCTATATCTTTGAAGAAATCCTGAATTTATGTGTAAGGTACGTTTCTACCAAGTGTAGAACAAAATCACATATATATATATATATTTATAATTGTTTATACCAAGACATGTACATATATATTAAATGCACATTGATAATATCAAATATTCATTATATATTTGTATATATTACACATGAATATATAACTGTACAATTAATGGACTACACTTTTTCCCAAAGGTTAAGCAGCACAAAAAATTCCAAACATGAGTGAACTTGCTTTTGGATCATCATAAAAGTAATTGTTGGATTAAATAGAAAATGTTTTCTTTTTCTTTCGATTTTGAATTAATTTGAGGAACACAGAGAGAAAGGCAGACAGACAGAGGTTCCCATCTGTTGGTTCACTTCCCAGGGCCTGCAAGGGCTGGGGCTGAGCCAGGCCCAAGCAGGGAGCCAAGAACTCAGTCCACATGGTGGCACGGAAACTTGTTGAACCACTATTTGCTGCTTCCCAGGGTCTGCATTATTGGGAAGCTGCAGTTAGGACCAGAGCTGGGAATCAAACCCAATGACTCTGAAAGGGCCTGGGCACCTTACCTGCTAGGTTATAAACCCACTCCCAGGAAATATTTTCTGGATAGAGTTGTCTTGGTGCCAGTGTCTGGTACTGTCATCACCCAGGGCAAACATAACAACGAAAGCAATCTTCACATAGTGCTGTCACTTCTGAGAACATTACAATGGATGTGAGAGGTGTAACCATATTTTTGCCATCACCATTTTGCATTAGTGACTAGAGACAGCACTTCAGTATCTCTCGAGGGGTTATCCTAGAAGCATATGAGAATGTAATGAATTGCCCACCTTGCCCAGTCAGCAAGGGGGAGGCGAGCTGTTGTGCAGATCTGTTAGAGAAACTTGTAAAGGAAGAGTTACAAATGAGAAACAGACTGTTAGGTCTGCGGAGGTCAAAAAGGAAGTTGAGTTTGTGTGGGAGGGGGCTGATAGGGGTTGGGTTTGACAACTCCCTCACCCAGTCTCAGACCCTTATTTAAAGATGAGTGTTTTCCTAAAACAGGAACATAGAAAAGCACTCTTCAAAAATGCTTAAATATCTTCCTCTTCATTTGTGTTTCCTTAAAATCATAGAATTATAAATAAAACAGTGATTTCAAATGTAGACTTATTTAACATATCCCATAACCTTCTCAGAAATAATATCCAAAAATACAGATACCTGTTATTTAATATGGTGCAAGTACCTGTGTAAAATTTTGGATTTTCTATTTGCCTGGAAGAGCCATTATAGACACAAGTGTAAGGGTATAATTATTTTCAGGAATCTTGCTATTATTAAATTTCCATGCTCTATTGTGAACGTTTAGTCCTTCTGTATATATTTAAAATGTCTTTGATTCTGTTTCTTCAAAAACTAAGAACTTTACAATGTTTTCAGTCTAAACAAGAAGAAGCATCTATGTCCAAACAAGTGAAAATAGTATAACTAATAATATTATCAAGGCAAATACTATAGCTGCTATCCTGGCCTTCCTTTCACATGAATTAAATCTTAAATATCTGGTCAAGTTGTATTCCAAAAACAGAAATCTTTTGCTCTTAGGTATTTAACATTCCCTAAATGTGTCTTTTTTGCAACTCAATATATTCTACATGTCCACGTGCAATGGGGAAATCATTAAATTCAACATCCATTGGCATGTAAGAGTACAACATTTCATTGTTGTCTGGGTTATGCTCTTGATGCAAAATCCTTCGAGACTATTCTGTTGAATAGGATTTACATTCTTTTACCTTTTGTTATATATATGTATATACATACATATATGTATATATATGTTATATATAACATATGTTATATATATATATAACAAAGGGTGAAAGAATGTGAATATATATTATATAGATATATAAACATATCTATAATATATATAAATAATAATATATTATATAATATAAAATATACATCTGTATGATATATAAATAATAAATAAATAATAATATATTATATATAATATT